TTCTCTGCTGTGCTGCAGATGTTGTGTAGCTTTAGGATAGTCAATTTATCTCCCAGTTCATCATCTAAGATAACCCTTTTCCCTGATGTTGTTTACCACCAGAGGTCATACATGATGTATGTAGTTAGTCCCCTAGTAAGGGCTAGCCTTGAAGGCATTACTGCAGTACAAATGCATAGGCTCCAGCAAAGGATTCTCATCTTCTAGATAAAAATCATTTGCCTAAATTAAAGCTAAACTGGCAGACTTCTAGTGACTGTCTTAAGTGCACAGTGCCAAGCACCAAAGTATCAAATTCTTATTAAAAATATTCCCCTGGAGATTTCTTTATAGAGGTCCCTGTTTCTATTAGTTTCTCTGCTTAAGACACTTGATTTAGTCAGGGCATAAAAAAATAAGATAAAAGCAGCCTTTAGGTTATCCTTTCTTCACAAAAGAAGAGCTAAACACTTCTATATTGGATCGAGGGAGAATTGAAAAAGTTTATTCCTCACTTATAAAATATGCTGACGGGCAAACCAACATCACTGCTGTGCTCTGAGGAGCATGATAAGCCTATTTGAACATAGGTGTGGTTCATGGGAATGGCTGGAGTCTTCAGCATGCTTCTTTGGTCGTGACTGCTCTGTCTTGAGGGCTCCCACTTTTTTGGCTTTGTGACCTCGCCTTACATTTCTTTTAAAAGTCTGCCTCTCTCTTGAGTTCCCAGTGCCTTGAGACCTCTTGATCCTGTTCACAAATCCCTCTCAAACCCTGGCACATCTGAAGTCAAATGCCAAAACTCTCACTGACTGAAGTTCTTCCAGGTGTGCAATTATTCCATCTGCTTTTCCATATACCATTTCCCCAGACTCTTTAGGTAAAATGAGAGTTTTTGCATCTGCCTTGCCTTTTTACCTTCTATGTTAGATTAGGACTACTTCCTTAGCAAGTGAGCATGTGGGCCAGAAATAATAGCATTTAAACAAGGCATATTGTTTCACCAACATTCTCAGCTGAACATATAAAATTACTGCTACTGTTTGAACCACAATTCAGACCTCCAAACTGATCTTTATTTCAGTCTTAAAATACCATGTGCTATGCTTTCAGCAATGCTAGGCTTCTTTTGCATTGTCTTGCAGATCAAAAGCTTTGAGGTGTTAGTCTCAGGACTATAGGTGAAGTAGGTTTGGCGGCCTTAGCTTTGTCTCTGGTAGGCCTGTGCAAAGCAGCTAGTATTCGCTTTGGATTTGGATTCGGCCGATTCGGGGGACAGAAATTTGATTCGGTGATTTGAATCACTGTCCCAAAACAATTCAGCCAAATCTGATTCAGAGATTCAGCTGCTGCTGAATCAGCCGAATCACATAGGCCCATCCCCCACCCGCTCTCCCAGCCCAGCAATGGCTGCCCCGCGTGCCCCAGCTCCCAGCAATTGGAAAAAAAAGCCCGAACTCACCGGGTGCTGCTGGGCAGGATGCAATCCCTGATGTCCCCCACTGCCCCACGCTATGTGGGGGACTCTGCCACAAGCCCTCCTGCCCCCGCCCCCCATGGCTGCCCTGCCCACCCCAGCTCTGGCCATTTAAGAAAAAAACAAACCAAAAAACCCTGTAATCACTGGTTGCTGCCCAGCAGGGGGTGATCCACACTGCCACACGCTGCACAGGGGCTCTGCATGAGCCCCCCGAAGTCCCGAGGCTGCCACAGGAGCCAGTGAGTTCAGGGGGTTTTTTGTTGGTTTTTTTCTTAAAGGGCCAGAGCTGGGGCAGGAACTGGGGGAAGAGGAGTGGGGTTGTGGGTCTTGTGGCAGAGCTCCCCATGCAGCATGGGGCAGTGGGGTGCAGCGGGGATTGCCTGGCAGCACCCAGTGAATAGGGGCTGTTTTTAAAGTACTGGGAGCTAGGGCAGGTGGGGCAGCCATGGGGGGCCTGGGGGAGCAGGCAGGGGATGGGGTTTGGAAGGGGTCTCCCCATGGTCCCCTACCAACTCCGAGTCCAGCTCCAGCTCCCTGCTGCAGCCACTGGAGACTGCCAAAATCATTGAAGCTCTCCGAATCTTTTCCAAATCGATCCGGAGAGCTTCAAATTGATTTGGCCTTTTTATTGGTCCCCTGATTCGATTTGGATTTGGAGATTTGGCCACCGAATCGGGCCAAATCTCCTCCAAATCAAATCGGCACCTGAAGCTTCGCACAGCCCTAGTCTCTGCTGAAAAAGTCATCCACAGTCATATCTGGTATAGTTAGTAGACAGTTAAAGAATGAAAGTAGCATGGAAACTGAATGATCATTTGTCTCAAAGAGAGAAAGCACGCATCTCTGATCCTGCCAGGTCAGGGAAAACAGTTATTGTCAGGGTAGTTCAGTGCTGCTTGGACCATAGCTGTCTGAACTATATTTGGCTTTTGAAAACTTAGATGTGCAGTGCTACCAGATCATTAACGTTCATGACCAGAAAAATTCTTTAGAAATTAACACTGAAATCAACCTGTATAAAATGTGAATCAGTTGAGCATTTCTCAGCCTCTTTAAGGGTTTATAACAACAAATAAATTCTTTCAACAGACTGTGCAGTAAATGACCAGTGTTATTACATAGTTATTGGAGTTTAAAACATTTAGAGATGGGGAGTGTATTCGGTGACCTCTGGACCAGTGCACTTCTTTGTCAACAGGAAAATGGCCAAATCTAAACATTGTAATGCCTGCCAAAGTATACTGAGGCTTTTCAAGACACTAATCTCTTTACTTGCAGCTAAAAACAGTCTTGATATAGAGACTTCACATATTTATACAAATAATGAATCTGAACTCTGCAGACCTTTTTTTGCTTTAACATACAAATACTTTACACGTAGCAATTTCTGCCCTTTACCATTTGCAGAGACTTTGCACCACACCCATTTAATATGTTCTTTTTATTCAGAAAGGTTCGCTCACATGTTAAAACACAATTTATAAAAATAGTATGCTCAATAACCTTATACACTTCAAATAGGTTCTCCTCTCAACAATCTCTCAAGATTGCTTTCACAGTTACTAACTAAAGTATTGATAGAGGAACCAGTCACCAAAGAGTTTGCTTATACTAATTCTTCCCATGGTGTTCTCATCTTCCTTTTACCCTTTAAATATTAGAGGTCTCAAAGGAATGCACTTACCACTCTTCTGGCTCCAGCACACTCAGTATAGTCTGACTTGAAAAGTATTGGGTTTGTGAAAATTTAGAGAGTATATATCATTCTATAGGATCAACTTGAGGACCTGGAGAGAAACTGTTTGACTCTGCAAAATGTTAAAATGGATGGGGACACAGAAGTTCATTTCTGGCCCTTTGGACAGGAGGATTAATGAAGGAAGGAGGATAAAATGGACAAGTTAAATGGGAGTTAGAAACGGCCAAAACTGTCTTGGTGCCAGTGAGTAGATTTTAGTGAGAGTCACAACTATATAAGAACCAAGGATATAGATGGAAAAAGTCTAGATACCATTTGAATAACCATCTTTTATAGGTGCTTCTCTGTCCTAAGCCTGTGAACCTTTTGAAGTTTCCCCATCACAACTTACAACCCAATTAAGCATTTGCATCCATTCCCTTTTCAGAACTGGTGAAACAATAATAGCAGACAAAATTAATGAGTCTCTGGAGCTTGTCACCAAATAAAACTGTGTAAAATCTGTGCAAAGCAGTTGGCCCTAGCTATTTTTTCTGTTCTCTTTATAAAGATTATACTGCATATCTACATAATTTTAGAGCAGTCATAGACAATATTTAGTACTTCCAGTCCTGTAATGCTTCAAAATGGTTTGGAAAGATTAATTAAATAATCCTCTAACATCTTGAATGACTAAATGGCAAGGGTAATTTCATCCCCATTTCACAGAGGAGAAGATTGAAGCAGAGGAAGCTAATAGCTGTTGTTTAAACAATGCCTCAGCGGTGCATTATACCCTATAAGTAAGGAAAGAGGTCCCTGCCCCAAGTAGCTAACAGCCTAATTAAATCACCACAACAGGCAAAGATGGAGGGGCCATGGAGAGACCATGATCCTGCTCCTTTAAAAACTGTTGCATTTTGGTCTCAGTGGGGGCTGTACCAGGCCTTTTAATGATGAGATTTAACTCTGGAGTTCTGTCTCCCAGTCTCTTTCCTGGATCTCTAAAATAACAGGCAGTCACAATTTGCAGGTAGATAGTGCTTTTTCACTCCTAGATCTCAAAAAACTTTTTGAAGGTGGGAAAATATTTCTTCCTGATTTGGAGACAGAGTCATTGAGGTAAGTGAAAGTCATGCTATTATTCAGTACAGAGTTGGGAATACAACTTGTTTTTCCAGACTCTGGACCCTGAACTTGATTCAGAAGACCCCTAGTAAGTGTACCTTTCCAAGGGCACAAGGTTTTCTCCTGCAGCTTTGCCCCGGGGCACTGTGCGTGCTAGGCCATCCGGTGCCACTGCTCTCCTTGGGTTTGCTCTCCTGTTCTCTTGACTAATGCAGAATGGGGGCACTCCATTCCAGGAGCGCACGGAGTTGCATTATAACAGTGCTTGGCATCAGGCAGGCAATGAGGGGAGGCTGAGCAAGAAAGTGTACTACATAATCAATAAACCAGCATATATCATGCTCTCTCTATATAGATTTTCTTCCAGATTTGATATTCTCTAGTCAGAGTTCAGAGTCGTAAAAAGTGAGTATTTTAATGATGGATTCTTTTGGTTCTGCCTTTCTTTGGTGGGAAAGTGCACAGTGCTTTGGTGTACGGCCCACATTTCCCTGTGCAGTGTTACTTTCATTGAGTTCATACTTCATGTTCCTCCCTTCCAGACTGTGCAGATGTACTCCAAACTTAGGCAAGAGGGGGTTTTAGATGGGAACTACATCCGCTTAAACATATGCAATGCTTGTATGTAAGAAAAAGAAAATGAAACACTGACAAAAAATAAAAGAAGTACAAAAGGTAAGGCTGCCCATTGGCTTGATTTTTAAAGATATGCATTTTTTTCTTACCATATTGCAGATCTCGCCTTGCAGATTTTTTCACAAACTGCCAGCCTGAGTCACGGTCTATTAGTAGCTGTCTGAAGGAAAACTATGCCGACTGCCTCCTCGCTTACTCGGGGCTTATAGGTAAGAATTTTATGGGGGACGGGCCTTCTCTCTCTCTCTCTCTCTCTCTCTCTCTCTCTCTCTCTCTGCCAAGAGAACAAGCTATATCTTGAAGGCCCACTGAAAACAAAGCAGAAGTTCATATCCATATTGTGCCATCAGATTGTAGGCACAATCTGGATATGTCTCTTGAATGGTCTCTTGTCTGAAATGGTCTCTTGTCTGAAAGCTCAGGGCTTCAGGGATAAATAAGTCTGTGCAGTTGTCCAAAATAAGGTTGGAGGATAAGGGGAAGAGAGGTTTTTAAATTTGAAGAAAAGGGGTGTAGCAATACATGCAAGTAAATCATACAAAGCAAAGTTGATTGGGGGTTGTTAAAATGGAACAAAATAATATCGTAAGGAGTTGAGTAGAATAAGTGAAGCTGTTGCTTGATGTTGTTTGCAACTCTCATCAGAAAGTCAGGTGAAATGCCTATCGATATATTTAGGGAAAGCTCACGGTGCATTTGAAAAATGAGGCAACAATACAGCAATTCAATCCCATTTCACTTTTACCAACTCTGATTTCCATGATCTCCCCATGTCCCTTTTAAGGGTTTTCTGAGATGCCTGTCAGTGGAAGTGAACTGAGAGCAAATTTATCTCCTGAAATCCTGTCCTTCCCCAACATAATTCATTTTGCCCACTGTCACCTGGCTGACTGTCAGCCTGCTCGGGGATGCTGCTTATACGCGGGTCGGATTCCACGTCCCACACGTTCTGTTTGATTCCTCAGTGAGAAAGCTCATCTCAGGGAAGTTAACTTTCTGCAGACATATTATGGTTGGGCAATAAAGAATGAGTGAGTGTCAAAACTCTGAAACAAGCACATTTGGAAAAAAAAAGACCACTTTTTCAAGCTCGCAGCCTGCACTTGCCATGATTCAGACATAGCCCCTTCTGTTAGGTGTGAAGGTTGCAGCTGAGCCCCTGAAGCAGATCCTGCTGTTAAATAAATGTCTTCCGAGATGCTGTCCAAAACAAACCATTAACAAAATAGAATGGTCTTGCTGGAAAAGGAAGCTAAAAGCAGGGCCCTGTAAAACGAATCAACAATACTGAATGCATTACTGTACCACCTAATGAAAGCGGTAAATATGGATAGGGACTAATAAGAGAAGATGAGGTTTCAAAGAGCATGCTCCAAGATTTAACAGAAAAACATCGTGCAGAAACAAGACCTGAAATGATAAAAAGTCATTTGACTCAACAAAGAATTGGGCCGCTTAGCAATCCAGTCCAGTGAATGAAAGTAAGGAGACTAGCTGCTGGTGAGGAGTAATTCTGATCCTAATAGGAGTCTGCAGATGAGAGCTGCCAGCAAGTTGTTGCTGGATCTAGTGCCTTTTGCAAAGCACTTTATTGGCCCATTTTGCAATTTAACCTTAAGAATGACCCAGTTCGTGTGGAGAGGTGGTTTTGCGTTCCTATGGGCGATGATACTGCAAAAAAACCCCACTTTCTGACATCAGAGACATGAAATGGATCCCTAAGGAAGTGAAATCAAATGGAGATTTAACTTCTGAAGGGGAAATAAACATTTTTCTTCTTTCCTAACAGCCCCCAGACACATGCAAGAAGATGGGAGCTGACTAATGTTACAAGGGTTTATGCCTCTCAGCTTTAACTCTGATAAAACAAGGCGCATACCAAAATGAAAGTGCCATTTTCTGGAACAAGATGGTCTTCATTCTGATCTGAGTGAGACTGGTATTAATCTGAAATAAATTCCACTGTAATAATTAAATTCAAATAAAAACCCTTCAAATGTCCAAGTCTGCCTGAGATCAAAATCTGGGCTAGAATTTTTCTACTGACCCAGGTAAAAAACCATGTAACTATACAAGAAGAGAGTGACATTTTTATTTTTTTACTTCTCAAGGCAAACTATTGCAGATTTATTTGTTCCTCTGAAAGCCAGGGGGCTCTGGCTGATGTGGTTAAGATAAAGTACAATTTCCTTTATTTGTTTAATAAGCCGTTGCAGAAAAAGTCTGAAGAGTTAGAAGCAAGATGTTGTAAAAGTAATATTTATTTCAGGAAAAGGAAGGTTCACCGTGGAATTTAAAGTGGGTCTTTCTGCTCATAGATATAATGAGGTAAATAAGAGGTAGCTGGACTGAAATCAGTGGAACTACAATTCAAATAAAACTTGGTGTGAGTGAGACACTCAGGCCTGTTTTTGTGAGGGAGGTCCTATACCAGATGAATGGAGAACAGATTGGATAGGTACTTTTCTGGATTATGCCATGGTGTGATGTATGGTGCATTATGTTTTACAGAAATACTGACCACCACAGTTTGTAATTTTGGGCTGTTTTTTATATGTTGATAAAAATCGGTAAATGCATTTGTTTTTAAAGTGCTAACCTGCCAGAGGAAAGATACAGGATTATTTCATGTAGAAGAAGCCTAGAGATACCAAAGTGCAAAAATAACCTATTTTTAACATCTCTGTCAAGCACACTGTACCTCCCTCTGACATCACACTGATGTGACCCCCTGTAACTCCACTGATTTCCAAATGAAACTTTTAATTTATTTATTTTTAATTCACTTTCCCTTACTTGTTTTTGGCATCCTACCCTTCCCCTCCCTAGGATTGCATAGGAATTTGCATCAGTAAACTGGGACCTTAGGATGGGGCATATATCATTCTGATCCTGTTACAAGTACCTGAGCTTTTGGCTCAGACCCAGTGACTCCTGTTCTTCCTTTTTGCTGAGCTTCATTTTCTTCCTGCGTTCTGCAATAGGAACTCCCTACCTTGCCGATGTTCCTGTTGCAGGGCATAGATTCTCATTAAGTTTAACAGTTCCTGCTGGGCCTGGGCCAATTCCACTAGTTAAATTATACTAGGGTCACACTTGGGTTAGAGGAACTTAGTTAAACTTTTTTTTAATTCCCTATTCCCACCGTTAATAGCTTCTGAGCCAAGTTGGCTCATGTGCCGAGTTCCAGATCACTTCTACCTCTGTTGAGAGTACTATAGAAAATTCGAAATAGTAAAAATAATAGGCTAATTGTGTCCTATTTTACTCCCTTCCGCTGTGGTTCCCTGATCTGTTAGTGTCCTTCAGCAAAATTTCCAGGATGCCAGCTTAAGAAGCACACAAAAAAATAAAGCAGAAAAAACCCACCACCCTAGGAAACCAAACGCATAATCTGCTTGGGTTCACATCTGCCCCCAGATTTAAATGATAGACTGATTTTCCACTAGCTGCTGTTTCAGCCACTTTGGGTTTTCTGCTGTATATACAGTTCATGTTTTGTATATACATGTTCCTTGTCCTGCCTTCCCGCTGATGCTAATCGTAGCATGGGATCGCTTCTGCTTTCGCCCCGTATTTAGTTCCGCCTTTATGACCTTATTTCTTCTTTGTTGTGAAAGTCTTGCTTTAGAGGCCCCAACTTCCTCAGCACTTCTAGTTTGATCAGATTTTCTCATGTTCACCTATGTTCTTTCCATTAAACCCTCTTCTTTTCCATTTTCTTGCTGCGTTACTTTCTTCTTTTCTCATCATGACTGTCACCTGGTTGAAATATTCAGCTGAAAATCATCAAAGGAGCAATGGGTAGACGTGTTTCATTTGTTTCGTTTTAATTTAAGCAACATTCCTATTCTTATTTATCTGCTGTCAATTTTTCATGCATAGTGCAAGTGATATTTGCCTTTTTTGCAGCATTCTCCACCTGCATTTCATACATTTTGAACCGTGCTATTTACACATGTGATAATCTTATGTAGACTTTGAGCAGTTATTATTAGAACTGTTCGTTAAAAATTAAAAGTACATAAAGAATGCGATTGCGTTCTAATTTAATAACATCCCAAAACAAAACAGAAGATCCTTTGGGTGATTTTTAGCCAATTCCATCTAATTTATTCCTGCATTTCATCAGGATAGCTCTTCAAGTCTGTTTTTCTTTGTCTTCCATTTTGTGTACAAAACTTTTTGAATGCTGACCTGCCCAATTCCCATCCAAGCCTGGGTGACTGAAGCACTACTGACATAGTACCAGGGGTGGACTTGGTACTGTACAGTACTACGTACTGACATAGTATTGCATTTTCTGTTACATCTAGTGCTATGTTTGTTGGCTTGGTATTTGGCAACATTTTTTCATGAGGGTTACAATTTCATGGGTCTCTACTACTTAACCTTCTTCTCTTTCACCTTTACATCCTTATTTGCTGAAACACGGGTCATAGAAAAGTTTGCATTGAATCTCTAGGCTTCTGGGTAAGGTGTATAGGTACCTAAATATATGCCTCGACAACTGCTACTCTCAGTGCAGTTCTGGCCTAATTGCATTGATTTAACTGGCTACAAATAAATGGAGTTATTACAGGTTTGAATGATGCAACTGAAAGTAGAATTTGAGCAACACAGCTTATTTTAAATTAACGCTGGGTTTTTGGTTGTAGCCGTGTTGGTCTAAGGACACAACCAGGCAAGGTTTTTTGGGTAGATGTGATATCTTTTATTAGATTAACTGAGTAGTTGGGGAAAAAAGGTCTTAGCAAGCTTTCGGGTGCAGTCACCCTTCATCAGGCATAGGGAGTCTCTGCCGGGCTGAGACTCCAAGGAGTAAGAGAAGCTAAAAGTATGATGGGATGTCACTGAGACTGTAGATGGATAGAGATTAGGAAAACATTTTTTTTCTAATTGCTTTACCTTTTATTTTTCCTAATTTATCCCTATTTACATTCTCACTGACATCCTGTCACACTTTTAGCTTCTCTCATTCTGCACCCAAAAGCCTGCGAAGAACCTTTTCCCAACCACTCAGTTGGTCTAATAAAAGCTATCACATCTACTCAAAGAACTTTGCCTGCCTATTTTAAATTAAGGACTACATTGGTCAACTGTTAATCAAGTTGTGATGCCTTGTACTGGGAAAGTCATTTACTCATTGGAGTAACTGCTCACCAAGGTGAACAGGGACTGAATAAATGAGATCCGCGGTGCTCAGCTATCTGGCCGGTGAGCGGTACAGGACTGGACAATGGGCCAGATCCAGCCTGGAGTTCATGTGCAGGGTCGGTCAGCTGGTGGGATCTGGCACACTGGACCTGACCCCTGGAAGCAGCAGCAATTAATGCTGCCACCACTTCCCTATTCCCAACTTTCCAGCCCCATATGGAGCTCTACCAGCTCTTACTCAGGGGCCAAAGCAGTTGAGCACCACTGATCTAGTTCAACAGGGAACATACGTTAGAATATGGAATATACTCTTTACTTTGGTTTAGTTGTTAGTAGGCCTGAGCCTGAAATATAAATAGCAAAATGCTTGTGCAGGAATCTGTAAGGGTTAGAAAGATGCATGGATCATATACAGTTTAAGAAATGAAATCTCTGTAGAATTGACAGTAAGAAACAGCAATGATATGGTAACTGGGAAACTGCATAAAATTAGTCCTAGCTGCTTATAAAGATTAATCATACCTTTTCTCACATTCTGCTGTACTATGGGCAAAATAGCCCTCATCAGTGGGTCTTAGACTAAATGCCCTGCAGAGATGTATGTGACAGTTCATGCCTTTTATACCTTGTTTCCGGCAGCCTGCAAACTGAGGGCAAACCAGTCAGGGCACATTTTTAGCCATTTGTTAGCAGCTAAAAGGATAGACCTTCTAAAACGACCCTAAGCATGGGTCTGTAGTACTTCAGCTTAATTCAGCCCTAATTCTGGCTATCATCATATATAATTTATCCTTTGATTGGATAGCATGAAAAAGGGTCAGCTATTACAAAAATCACTTTACTACATGGTATTTTACTGTTTGTTCACAGGCACAGTAATGACACCAAACTACATAGACTCCAATAGTCTCAGCGTTGCCCCGTGGTGTGACTGCAGCAACAGTGGTAACAACATAGAAGAATGCCTGAAATTTCTGAATTTCTTCCAGGATAATACATGCCTTAGTGAGTACAACATTCGAATACAACCTCAGACTTCTATTTGTTAATGTTTTAACGTGTGCTGGATTGTGTTTTTACTTATTTTCTGAATACTTGTGATGCATCAAGGCCACAGCTTTGCATTTCACTAAGTTGGAAATGGAATTGATATAGAAACCAGAAGTACATGAATTCGAGCAAATCTACCTGATGTATTGTTCATGGCCAAATTTATAAATGTGAAAATCCATAATGTAGAAACATATTTCTTCCCACAAATCACAACTTGGTTATATTTGGGGAAAGTCTGTCATGATGGTTTGGTTATTGCAATTGAGAAAAGTCTGATGCATTTGTGTATAATAGGACAAAGTTAGATAAATGACACGCAGATAGGCTGTGAAGGTCTTTATATCTATACAAAGTGAAATATGGACCCTGTTAAATCAATGGCAGAATTCAGTTGCACTTAATGGAATCAGGATTTGATATCCTGATTGGAATTTTATTATCAATAGTCCCAAATATTTAAGATTTAAGCATAAAGTTCACTCACTTGCTTATTTTCAAAAATGAGATTTGGTGCAGTGATTTCATAGGAATTTTTACCTTATGGCGTTAGCAGCCAAATTCACTCCCAAAGTAGGAGCTATTTTAAATCTATTTTAAATCTTGGAGGGGCTTAGTGGTGTCATTTTTCAGATTTCCTTTTCAAACTTCCCATTTGCGAAGAATTTTACAGCTGGATGACAAGGAATGTACACCAGGGCTGGATTTCAGAGGAACTGGAAAAGCTAAAAGAGGTTGGCCTCCTTAGCTTAGGAAAACAAAGGCCTATACACATGCAGCAAGGCGGCTGCTCTGACACACTAATTACAATGCATTGGAGCAGACTCGAGGCTGCTGGAGTGTGGTCATTACCGCGCTTCAGCAGACTCCAGCACCACATGTATCAGTGTTCCCACACTGAAAAATGGTGATAGGGTTGCTTTAACTAAAGCTTGTTTGATGGGTTTTAGTTAAATCACCCCCACTGCCATTTTTCAGTGCGGGGACTCTGATACATGTGATGCTTTGGGAGCTTTAATTAGAGCGTCTTTTGGAGCCACTCTAATTAAAACACCCCCTCCCCCCTACACATACTCCCGGAGCATGTGTGTAAACGCTCAGGGATAACATTATTTCTGTCTCAAAATATGAGAGTAAACACTGGACTGGAAAAAGTCCTATTTAAGCTGAAGTATAATATTGGCATAAGGAGTTTAAGCTGGCCAGGAAATGTTTTAGGCTGGAAATTAGGAAGTTTCTAATCAACGGAAGAGTGAGGCTCTGGAACAGACATCCAGTAGGCATTGTGGTGTCAAACAGCCTAATTAATTTTAAGATTAAGCTCAATCAGTTTGTGAAAGTTCTCCAACCAATAGGGTCTCACCTTGCATTACTTCCATTACTACACTGATGCTCTTATGTGCAAAAAAAAATGACAGGATTAAGCAGTATTTATTGGTGGATCACTGGCTGGAAGAGTTAATCAAGATCATGTCACAAAAAATAAGTTCAGATTGGGCTCCTATATAGGAACAGACACCTCTAGTATCCAGCCTTCCCCTCACCATAGCAGTACTATCTCTTCGACATTACAAGTTGTAATATTTCATAGTTTACTACTTTGTAAATGTGCTCATTACTACCAGGGTTGAGGTTCCTTTTAGGATTTAACACACACCAATCCTTTGTCTTCAGAACAACACATTTTAATGTAGATAAAGTGATGGCGTTAGAGGTTGCTGTGAGATAAATTATGCTCACCTTGGTAGAGACCACTTCTTCATGAAGATATTATAAGTTTTCCTGATGTAATATCATTTCATAGAGCAGGAAAATGTTCCAGTGTCTTTTTGTTAATGGCCCTCTGTGGATAGGGGGCATAATCTACATTTTAAGCTATATTCTGTATTAGTGTTTATATTCATTCTTTATTTGACTATGAAGAACAGTAGGTCCTGATCTTACATACAAACAGCTTCTTAGTCTTAAGCCTATGTATATTAGACCTGGGTGGAAACAGTTTTCCTGTCCTGTACCAATTCCAGCAATTTCTAACATGTTCCTGGGTAGGGACAGACATTACACATAAACTGGTTTCAGTGATCAGAAACTAGTTTAAACCTGTAACAGAACAGATGTTCAGTGCACATAAACCAGTTTCAAAATGGCTGAAGCTCGTTTGAGATAAACCTGGTTGAATGTAGCATCAGACTTAACTGATTTGGCTCAAACTGGTTTATGCAATGTCTGTCCCAAACCATTGGGACAAAAATGGTATCTTTGCCCGTTCTTTGCCAAGAGTAAGCTCCCCTGCATAATAGCCCAGTAGTGAGGGCACTCATATGGGATATAGGAATTCCAGGGTCAACGTCCTACTCCGGTTACAAAATGCATAACTAAGTGTATATTATTATTCATGGCATTATTTATTTTTGAAGTAGCTCCTTACAAGAGAGTTTGAGACCAGCTCACCCCAACCTAGACAACAGCCTGGTGACCAGGGCACTTACCTGGGATGTGGGAGACCTGGGTGTAAATTCTTCACTTTGCTTGATTCATAGATTCATAGAAGTAGGGTCGGAAGGGACCTTGTAGATCATCAAGTCCAACCCCCTGCCCTGGGCAGGAGAGAAAACCAGGCTCAAATGACTCCAGCCAGGTAGACATCAAGCCTCCTCTTGATGTGGAACAGGGACGTGAATCTTGGGATTTCCTATGCCAGGCAATTGCCGTTTCAGCTGGGCTTTTGGCCTTTTGCAGCTTCTCTTGCTTTTGATCAGAAATTTCACCCTGGAGAGAGATGGCCCGACAAAAGTTTACTTAAAGTGGATAATTGCCATGGGAAGCTTCTCGTTGGCATTGACATTTCCTAATTTAAACCATTTCACAAGCAAGTTCCCAACCAGAACTAACGGCACCTTATAGTAAGTGGTGCTAATGAAATCAAATGCATGACTATATCCTAACTCTCATGTATTAACTGCAGTGCATTTGTTTGCAGAATTTGGGACTTACAGATTTTGCAAGTAGCATAAACTTTAAAAAGAGAAGGCACAGGTCCCTGCAGAAATGCCTGTGTTTTAAAACACGGGATTGCATACTACCTTAATTACATTTTCCAAGTTTATTTGGAAAACATTTGACCACCAGTCAGTGGGGTCTTTTATCCCAAGAGAACTTCCACTTAGTTCATTTTCAGATACAGACTGGATCTTTACAAATCGCTTAAACTTTATTTTTACTACCTTTCAAAAATTTTCCTATAGCAGAGCTTTCAGTTATTCTACGCACTTCAGCCCAACCCTACAAACATTTGTGCACACAAACAGTCGCACTATTTAGTGTAGAACTTGAGATATGCAGGTATGTAAGTGCTAGAAGGATTTGAGAGTATGTCCTGTTTGATGGAGAATTGGCAAGCAGGGGGGAAAATACAAAATACAGCTTATAAAAACAGCCAACCATCCACTGAAGCGTCTGAGGTATCTCTTCACTCTTGTGTTTATAGCCTGCATTATACTTGAAGACATACAAATATTGTAAGCAGAAACACAGGAGATGCAAAAATAAAAGATGATTACAAGAGTAATTTTGTTTTGAAAGCTAAAGGAAGTCTCCATATGCTGCTTATTTCCTGCAGCTTCTCTTGCAGGAGCTGGCCTGCCGTTTAATTTAGCCCAGGACTGTCCAGACTCTAAGCCAGGGGTGGTCAAATCCAGCCTGCAGAGCCATGGCATTCGGCCCACGGGGCTCCCCATGGGTCAGGAAATCTAGCAGTAGGGAGTGATCTCCCCCATACTGTACCACATGAGCAAGCAGCTCCCACCTTAGCCCCCTTGCTGTACCGCACTGCAGGCACCCTCGGCACTGTGGGCCACACCACCCCACTTTCCAGGGTGGGAGCAGGAGGCAAAAGCTAGGTGGGAAGGGGGAACCTGGAGACCCCAGATACAGCAGCAGCCAGCGCTTTAAGGGGAGCAGTGGCCAGGTAGGAGCCTGGCGGCTACATATTAATCCCAAGCGGACCTTGTGCAGCCTGTAGTCCGCCAGTCAGAAAGCTCTGAATTTAGGTCATCATTTGGTCACTTGTGTGCATTTACGGTATAGAAAGTATCGTGCTTCACGTTACCTTATTTAAGGATGATCACAGGACAGGAAAATTATTTCAGACAATCCCCACTTGCCCCCTGTCAATCGAACCAATTTTGGTGCCTTTATATAAATCTTTCGCGGTATTTGTTGGCACTCTTAGAGCAAATATTAGAATAAAGCATGTCTTTCTAAGATCAGAGTTAAATGGAAATGATTTTATAAGGAGATGGATGGCAGTGAAGGCTAATATTAATAACTTTCACATATAAACCCCAAGTGAAATTGTTTGATTTCTTATACAATGAATTTGAAATAAGAAATCCCTAAATCCGTTTTGAGTCCCCAAAGACCTGATTAAAAACTGTTTTTCTATTCATTTATATTAAAAAAGCAACCAATTTACTCTTGCCATAAACACACTCTTTAATCCCATGAAACTGTGATAAGCTTTTTAACTTTTATATTCTAAACTTTTAGCTTAAGCATGCTTCTCTCACCTCATTATGCAGATGTTGTTTGGAAACTGGAAGGAAAGGATCATCTTAGTTAAGCCATTTTGTATTTATGGGTCTACTTGTTTTAACGAAACAAGGTGTAGAAATAAATCAGTATTTTGCTGGCTGTTTACAGGCAAACTGGCTTGTTGCAAAACCTATCAGAAGCAGGACATGGCATTCAGGCTAAATCTTAAATCTCACAAATCAAGTTTAGAGGCACTTGCATGGTATGCTAATTTGCTTACATTAGATCTAAGGTTTGGAGCTTCTCTCAAGAATGGCTGAAAACCTCAGTTGGAATACAGTGAGAGAGAAATCTGTGACCCCAGAATTCATATTTCTGACATGTATTCAAAGTTAATTCAAGTAGGCTTATCAAAACAAAAGTTTGAGTTTCTACGCAGAAGGACAGGGGTTTTTTATGTGAAAGAGCAATACCAAAGTTATTTCTGTTCAATAGCAGCAGGTCAGAAATGTCAGTTTTGTTGTCTGTGGTATTTGTTTTTTATGCCGTATTTTCCCTATAATTGTGTTCTACAGAAAATGCAATTCAGGCCTTTGGTAATGGTACGGATGTAAACGTGTGGCAGCCCATCCTACCAGTACAGACCACCACAGCGACAACTACAACAGCCTCCAAACACAGGACTGTGGGTTCAGAGACCACCAACAATGAAATACCCACCCACAATGATTTGCCAGCATGTGCAAATCTGCAGGTAAGAGAAATTTGTAACTGCTGCGGTTAGAAAGCAACACAAAAGTACAAAATGATGTTGATCAGCAGAGTCTGTCAGCTGTTGCTGCACGTGCAGATATCTATATAGTCTTGTATATAGCTGGATTTTGCTCTTTTCATTCTGATGTTGGAGTTCGTTATACTATATATTATAATAGATCACATACTCTGGTATCAAATAAGGAACATAAATAAATAAGAGATTGCATTGGTTCCCTGATTCAGGAAAGGGGATTACTACAATTTTGGCTATGGTCTTAGCATTTCTGCTACCCTGTCAGTGTAAACCAGAGAAAGATAATATATTTGATGAGCTAAATACAAAGGTGACTGAACTGGCTTAAGGTGCACCTTCTTCCAGTCCCTTCATTTCATTAGTTACACCAGTTTAGACATACCATATTTACTTGAATAAATGATAAGGGTTTTCCCCCGATCTGTATGGGGGGGAAAAGTTCTTCATCTTACAATTGCATACAAAGAAATCTCATTAAATACACTATCTGTTGTTAAACTGTTGGCAAAAATGGCATGTTCTCAGTAACTGAAATCAAAATGCAGCCAACACTGAGCAAGACTATTAGGGGTGTGAGAAACGGGCTGCATTTGATTCAGATTCAGCCAGAATCGGGGACAGTGATTCAATTCGTTGATTCAGATCACTGCCCCCAATTCGATTTGTCTGAATCCGAATCTCAAGATTCAATGCTGATTCAGAGAATCAGCGATTCGGACATAGACACAGCTTTAAATGTTTTTTCTACATACCTTGAGGTACCAGGCGCAGCTTGTGAACACTGCAATGCTGGGGTGGATAGAGCATCCTACAGGAGCATGGGGGGCCCCCCCACGTGCTCAGCGGCAAGCCCGGAAGTGGACCAGAAGTACTTCCAGTCCATTTCTGACAGGGTCTGACAGGGAGCACACTGGGGGGCCCCCCTGTGTCCTCCCCAGCTTGGCAGTTGGCCATAGGAGGACCCCAGGTGCCCCCCCCCCCAGACCCAGGAGCCACCAGTCGCCGAGCTGAGGGGTACAGGGGGTGGGGCCCAGCACGCTCTCTGGCAGCCTCAGAAGTGGACCACAAGTGCTTCTGGTCCACTTCCGGGTCTGCTGTCAAGCGCGCTGGGGAGCCCCCAGCCCTTTTGTGGGACACTCCATGTGCCCCAGCATTGCAGCATTCATGAGCCACCTGCTACCTAGAGGTATATATAAAAAAACATTTAAAGCTGTGTCTATGTCTGAATTGCCGAATCTTTCCGAATCTCTCTGAATCGATTTGGAGGGTTCCAATTCAATTTGGAAAGATTAAAGGGTCCTCTGATTCAATTCAGATTCAGAGATTCAGCCACCAAATCGAGCCAAATCTCCGCCAAATCAATTCAGGGACCAAAGCTTCTCACAGCCCTAATGAGTATCAAACAAATGGTCAATCTAGGGTAAACGTACTGATGGGAACCTACAACAAGGATAGGTTAGTGTAGCCCATTTGAATAAGATATATGGTAGTGCCCATTGCACTCAGTTCTGCTCACTGCCAACTCTGTTTCAAGTCATAGTGAGTCACTACACTGAAGATATTTTTATTTCTTCCTCATTCCCACAGCTGAGTTGCACCATTTTTCCCATTTCCAATCAGTCCTTGTTCTTCACCACCCTTAAATGTCTGGCAAACATCACCAAATGGGGTCCTAAACAGCTCACCCAGAATCCCTCTGTTGCCCCCTCGCTCAGCCTGTCACATATGATTACTATGGCCCCACCCTCCATAAGGTGGAACTGCACTGGGTTGCCCTGCGCCTCATCTGCATATAATTTTTTGGATGAATTCAGGACTCGTAAGAACACCAGTTCCAGGCATAAGCAGGGTGCTAATTAGCACATGAATCCTTTATGAGGGGTGTGGGTTGTATCCAGAGTACACACACATACTGCTGAGCTGTGAGGTCACCATGGCTTGAAACGCTGTTGACTATTGGACTGAGGCCCAGTCCAATGAACTATATGGTAAATCATGAGCTTTTTGGCTTTGGACTAACGTTATGCATAGTTTATACTATATGTAAGTAGATACAAAAGTACTGCTTAAAAGTATGTTTGTGGAAGTACTTGTGTTAAAATTTGCATCAGTCCCAAAAAAAGGTAAAATGTGTCAATTCATCCATCCCTGTTTTCAAATTTGCCCATCACTTCCATGTGCTCAGGTAGAGCAGGGTTTGACAGTAAGGGGAACAGAAGGGGCTGCAGGGAAATAAGTTGGGGGAACAGAAGACAAGGGGGTCACCTCACCTCCACTCTTGTAGCCATGGGTGAGGGACAAAATCAAGGCAAACCTCCAATAATTAGAGGAAATACCTGGAAAATTATAACAAATTATAACAAATGTATACATTTTTCATATATAGAATCTAATTATTGGGGGTGGTCATCTTATGTAGGGTTGTCTTCTAGTTGAGTAAATTCAGTATTTAGACTGAGGGGATGTAAATGTAAGAGATGCATTTGGTACAAGTTACATGCTGAAGGGGCTGGACAAAGATTTAAATGACTTCAGCACAGATGCCCCCTTTGAATTGGTCCCAGTGTCCTGGCTAGTAACTGTGGTCCCATTGCTTATCGAGTTAACCAGGTATTTTATGGGATTGATTCTGGATTTTAAAGAGAGTAATCATTTGCTCAAGGCTGTACATGCAACTACCAGAGTTTTGGACAAGACAAAACTATAGAATATGGGCAAGGAGGAATGTGAGGTAAAAGAAAAACCAAAAATATCTCTAGGCCAGACAATTTCAGAAATCCAGTGCTAGAATGATCTCGTGTTTAAAGATACCAGATTAGCTCGGAGTCAGATCCAGTTGGCCCATTTCTAGTTCTGTCTTCACAGTGGGACAAAAATTAAAGACTTTCAGTTTTTTTATTACAGGTATAATCTAATGTAAAGACAGTTTTACACTTGACTCCCATATTCTTTAACATGTATTGTTTCCTTATGAGAGAGCATCCACAATGTTCTTACATACTAAATGTTTAATTCCGTGTGCTTCTTGTTAGACAGTATATAAATATCCATATGTATTTCACTTGCACAATGCAGATATGTCAAGATTTTCTCCATAATTATTCCTGATTCCTCATTTTTCCTACACAGTTCCCTCACATTGATGCCCTTTTAATTGGTCTGTTTTACTTGGTATCAGGTTGACAAATTTTGTATAAATCTATATACTTCGGTGGTGGTGTTAAATCAAAATATGTATTAGGGTTAATGATGACTGACGTTGGGATTCCACGTTGCTTATTTTTATTCTCATTTTGCATATCTGTAGTTTTATGATTAGTTAAGCTCTGTAAGTTATTGATGAGATGATAGTTAACAAGAAATGTATTTCCATATGCATTAGCTATTTGATTTGAAAAAATATTCATGCTGAAAAATATTAACCTTTAAAAAGCTAGGAACTCATTTAGAGAGAGAATTTGATGGAAAATTATTAATGCACTTCATATTATATTTAATAAGTTGCACTGAGGCAGGAATTGTATTTGTCTCATAAGTAAATGCAGCATGTTAGAGATTAAGTCTCACTGTGCTATGAAAGTATATATAGTAGACGGATCCAGAAATGACAGATATCTCAGATCCCGTTGATTCCAAGTTGCAGGTGTTCAGCATTTCAGAAAATGAGACCCAGTGTTTTCAGGTAACTGAAATAGCCCCCGTCCCAGTCCTCCATCATTTTAAAAGTCACATACCAGGTCAGCTCATCAACACCATCTGAAGCCGTCCTCTCAGTATAAAAGCCCCATTGATGTACTAGGTCAAGAATTATATGAAGGTATAGATATCTTTGGAAAACAGTCAACCTCAACTGACCTTCTTTGTACATGGATCGTGTAGAAGTATCCGCATACAGGTTTACCAGAACCGAACATCTGTTGACTTGTTAGCTGCAGTGTTTTAGCATCATCAGCTCCTTTCATGTTTTATACCGGAAACAAAATAACAAAGATTATATTTTCATACGTTTTCTAAAAAAAATCCTTCAATAATTAAACCAAGTAAAAATGCCTTACCTTGTTTTTATTAAACATACATTTTTGGACAATATGGTGCCACTTTGAAAATGAGACTTAAAGCTAAACTTTAATTAAAATATTAGAGGGACCAGGCAGCCAGAAACATTGTATGTATGGACAAGCTTCATTGTTCATAGGTTCATCTGCCATGAAAAGTGTTCCTTTGTACTAGTTTCAAAACATTTGCTAATGCTACTGAGAGCAATCTAAAAGGTTTTGTTAAAGACTTGGTATTTGAGATAAGGCTCTTTAAAAATGGAATATAGTAAAAACATTATAAAAGGCAGAATTAATAGCAATATTATCAATACTACAAAACAATTACATATTTGAGAAAAAGTTTCTGAAAAATGATCATTCAGATGCACTTAGTTATGACTATGAAATATGTATATCCTAGCAAGTGGAAATGTTTAATACAGTAAGCTCTGGGATGCTGAAGAAGTGTTTGATTAATATAAATTGGTTTGCCAAAATATTAAAGCATTGACTTCTAGTATATGTTTTTGCTTTAGGGCTTCTAAGGAATTGTTTCCTTGTATATGTACTATTTTGTCTCCAGATGAGCTAAGTACTTTATCCTTATCAGGCAGATCCTTGCTTTCAACAATATGCTATAAAATGCCTATCTATCCTGCATCTAGGAATGACCAAAAGCACCCAGTGACAACACTTCTATAAATATATATTAAATTCGAGTGCATTTTTAGGATGCTTGGCACCTGGAAAGGGGTAACATTACTTCAAAGGATCAGTCTGTAGAACATCTATAGAAAACACAAAAAGGAGAAGACATGGCCTTGATGCCTGGAAAGATCATAGAGCAGGTCCTCAAGGAGGCTATTGTGAAGTGGCCAGAAGGAGAACAAGGTGATCAATAACAGCTAGCATGGATTCACCATGAGC